TGTATTTATGTATTCAGTTTAGTGTATTTTAGTATAGCAGCCTGAGTAGACTAAAACAGTCATGAGTGACTTACACTTTTCCAGCCTTAGCTAAACAAATTTGAAGTAAGATATGATGGTGTTTTATGGATTCCACACAAGGGGGCCTTCTGTCAATAACAAGACATCCTTAGTAGAGAAAAACTAAGTTTTGTGAGATGCCAAAACTGAGAGGAGTTACCAGCTGCAAGTTAGAGACAGCATCCCCTATGCTTTGGGGGATGCCAACAAACCCACAAAAACTCCCTGTGAAAGATGCTCAGCAACGGTAGTGCCCTGACACCAGATGACAAATGTTCCAGGAGCACAAGACTGTCAACTTTCCACTGTCTCCCAAGAGTAATTTTCAGATCATCAGAAAAATACTGGCAAGGTAACTACATTTTTTTAAAACTCTGGGTTCTGAGTGGAATTTTGGCAAAACAAATTTACATTCACTTATAAACTATCAAACAATTAATAATAGAGTATTATCAGATCATAAAAAGATTCTTCTCCCTGAATTCATTACCAAATCTATTCTGCTTTAAGTAAGATGATTTATTTAAAAGATGAAACCAATTGCCCATTCCTCCCTCTAGTTATTCCCCCAAGAAATGTATCCCACTTTAGAATCCAAATTCTACCTTCGTAAACAAAGATTCACCTAATCCCTATACATTACCAGTGCCACCCCAATTCACAAGGTAATATCAGGGTTAAGTAAGAAAAATGGGAAATCTATTCTTGGCTGACCTGGTCATACTTTGAATCAGTCTTTTCTCTCCCCAGAATTCATAGCACATGTAGTCATCCTGCAGAACCCTGGCCTCACATGCCCCAGCCACCCATGACCATGTACTGTCTCTTTAGACATTTCCTTCCTGGTTTCTGTGCTGTTTGAGTAGCCCAAAGATTATCAAAGAAGCATAATTCATGACAACTCTGCATTCCTGCTTTTAAAAGTTAGGGGAGGTCAGGGAGATGGTGATGGCATAGGTAATAAAGGGAAAACTGAGTTTCAAATGTTTGGCAATAATGCACTTACCTATTTTGCTACTTGCTTTTTTGTTCTCTTGGTAGAAGAAAGTATTTTTTTGTTGTTTTTCTCTTGTACTTTCTTCTGTTTTCATTCTATAAATAAGCACTGTTGAAATTATTATTGCTTCATATATCCTTGTCATTGATTTAAAAACTGTGCATTTTAGGTTTGAAAGAAAGGATCAAATTTGGATGTTTCACATTTTAAATGATTTATTGAGTTAAAAGCACTAAGTAATTAATTCTGAACTAAACTCCTTTTAGCCTAAGAGTATCTTTTAAAAAGTGAAGTCTACCAAGGATAGGCATTGTAGCGTTTTGACATTTAATGACAATGTGTCTTTTTTTTTTTTTAGTTTCTGTAGCAACTATAAGTTTTTCAGAAAGTAATGTGCCTTAGTAACAGTCTTAAATTTTTCTAGTGCTTTAAAATTTTTCTTTCATTTTATTAGAACTATGTTATAGGCTGTCATGGTGGTGCACACCTGTAATCCCAACTGCTTTGGAGGCTGAGGCAGGAGGATCACACGTTCAGCAAGTCTCAACAACTTAGCAAGGCCCTAAGCAATTTAGTGAGACCCTGTTTCAAAATATAAATATAAAATAAAAAGGGCTGGGGATGTGGTTCAGTGGTTGAGTGCCTCTGGGTCCTGTGCCTGGTACAAAACAAAACAAAACAAAACAAAACAAGAAAAATAACAACATCAAAAACCTATGCTGTAAAGTCAGCAGAGCACATATTTGATTTTAACAAATTACAAAAGTAAGACAGAGAAAAGGAGGAGTTGAATCATTTGAGGGAAAATATGCTTTCATTTTAAAGTCCAGTTAGAATTGTAAACTGAGTCTTTTTTCCAGAGGTTTTGCAACTTGATTATTTTTTCCTTTTTGCTCTCATCTAAATTCTTTTTTCTCAAACTTAAATAGACTTACCCTTCTGTTTTCTCAAGCGAAATAATTTATTTTCTTTTCCCTTAAAATTTCTCTGTGTTGGGAAGATAAAGTTGAAAAAAATATGTGAGGAGATATTTGAGTTGAAGGGCCTATTGGCACTTTTTGCTACATGAACAGAAAGTATATTACTTTTAAAGTTGTAAATAATTATTATGAAATTAATAATTTTATTCTTGAAGAATTTTTTTCTAACTGGCTATATAGTTTTTAAAAAGAACAGTTTTGAGTCTTTTACTACTCTTAAAAAAAGTGGAAAGTAGGGATAATATTTTATGTAGCATGGTTTTCATCTTTCATTTTTACTTCTTTTTTTTAAGCCTCTCTTTGGTTCTCAGTTAGAATATATTAATTACTCCCTTTTTACAAATAGATAAATTAAGGCATATAAGATTTAAGCCATTTTTCTAAAGAATCACTGTTTGCCATTGTTCTTATGTTGGCAAAACCCTGGGCCTCTGTTATAACATGCTGTAGGAAATGTTGCCTTTAGTTACCTTCTGCCTGTGTCTACTTAGTCTAAAGCACACAGACATTTGGAAAAATAGCATGTGAAATATGGTGAAGTTTTAGGCACATCAATTCTTTAAAAAATTTTTTTAAAAATTTTGGTACAAGAAACTGAACTTAGAGGTGGTTAACCACTAAGCCACATCCTCAGTCCTTTTTAATTTTTTATTTCATGGTCTCACTGAGTTGCTTAGAGCCTTGCTAAGTTGCTGAGGCTGACATTGAACTTGGGAATCTTACTGCTTCAGTTCTTCCGAGTCACTGGGATTACCAAACATGAGCCCGGATAGATTTTTTTTTTTAATATTCACAATTCCAGAGTGTCTTAGAATATTTTTAATTAAATAACAGTATGAAATTTTACTTTGCTGATAGACAAGAATAATTTTGGATTAGGTATCTTTTTTTTTTTTTTTTTTACCAGAGATTGAATCCGGTACCAAAAAAAAAAAAACACTGAGCAACATCCCCAGCCCTTTTTACATGATATTTAGAGACAGGGTCTTGCTATGTTGCTTAAGTCCTAGCTAAGTTGCTGAGGCTGGCTTTGAACTTGCTATCCTCCTGCCTCAGCCTCCAAAGCCACTGGATTACAGGAGTGCACCAATGTGCCTGGCTTTGGACTATGTATCTTTTTAATGGTTAAAAAGACATTTGCAATTAAAACTCAAAAAAGATGTATTATGTAACATTCTCATTTTTTTATATCCATCTTTTATTGTTGTTATTTGGCGTTTTAGGAGACCCGTACTCAACACCTGTCAAGGCCTAAAGGTTCAGGGAAGGCCTGCATTTACAAGACTTGATGTAAGGGAGCTGGAAGCATGGTAGACAAACTAATAATATACTCTTAGTTTTAATGAATTCATGAACAAAATATCTATTCTTTCTAGAATCTTTCCAAATAGCTTGTATCAGTAATGATACACATACAGGCGGTTGATTTTAAACCTTTCTGTTTATCTTCCTAAAATCAAAGAGGCAGATTGATATAATGGACCTGCCCACCAGAGTGCAGTATTTCAAAAAGTCTCCATTCAGGCCATCCCAGGGGGTTGGCTCAGTGCCATCCTGCCCCTGTGTCTAAGCCCGAGCCATCATCTCCAGTGGTGAAGGTAACCCTTAGGTCAAGGAAGTCAGGGACTGCAAAATCATTTGCCTCACTGAGCTGCATGTTGACCTGATGGTTGGTTGGTTTGTTCACTCTAGACATTTCTGTGATCATATTTTCGCCTGCTCTCTAAAAGACCATGGTCCTGAGTGCCATTTTTTTTCTTAAAGCACTCCCTTAAGCAGGTTACCTTCAATAGAAACTGCAACCACCTTAACACCTGAGGCTTTTCAACACCTAGTTCCTGACTGTGTCCAGCACAAGCTCACCACCTTGCTCTGGAAGCTCCAGCAACAATGATCCAGATGTAATTTCCTACCGGTTCATCATATCATTCCATTCCCTTGGCAGGAATTGCTTTGCTTTCTCCCCTTCTCATCAGGTTGTCTCCTACTGAATATTCTGGACTTAGCTTAGACATCACTTCTACCAAGAACCTTACCAGAGCTCTTTCTGTCATTATCTGTGTCATTCTGTAAATTTTTTTGAAAAATGGATTTTTAGAGAGAGAGAATTCACATACCATACAATATACCCATTGAAAGCATATAACTCAGGGGTTTTTATGTTTTTTGTTTTTTTTTTCACAATGTGGTGTCATGTAGAGGCATCACCACAATGTTAGAACATTTTCATTACCTTAGAATGAAACTCTTAACCTTTTTTTGGTCTCACCTTCCTGTACCTTAGTCCTCTTCCAAGTCCCAAGCAACCACCTGTCTACTTTCCATCTTTAAAGATCCCCCTATCCTGGTCTTTCATATGAATGGAATTATATAACGTGGAATTTTGTGACTTTTTTTTCACTGAGCACAATATTTTCAACGTCTGTCAAGTTGTAGCATGTGTCAGTACTGAGCTTCTCTTTATGCCTAAATGATACTCCAAGTGCTGACATTATATTTTTTTAATCCATGTGTCAGATGATGAAGATTTGGGTATTTCCCACCTTTTGGTCATAATGAGCATTGCTACTCTGAATAGTCATGTAGAAGTGTTTGTATGGACATATGCTTTCATTTTTCTTGGGTAGATACTTAGGAGTAGACTTGCTGGATCATATGACCACTCTGTGTTTAATTGTTTGAGGCATTTCCAGACTCTTCCTGACAATTTTTGCCATTTGATATTCCCATCAGCAGTGTATAAAGGTTCGAGTCTCTCCACATTCTCATGACAGTTACTATAATCTTTTTTATTTTAGCCATCCTGATAGGTGCCAAGAGTTATCTCATTGTGGTTTTCAGCTCCTTTAGTTTTTTTTCCCCATATGTGTTTCCTTAGCATTCACATTGTGCTCCCCAGTATGCAGTAGGCACTCAAATGTTGATTGAAATGCATGGAATGCATTTTCGATTTTTTATTTCAGCAAGTGCCCAGCAGGCACCTGTGATGGATGTGCATTCTATTTCCTGTGGGAGAGTGCTGAAGCTTGCCCTCTGTGCACCGAGCATGACTTCCATGAGATTGAGGGAGCCTGCAAAAGAGGATTTCAGGTAAGGACCAAACCAATCTATAGATATCATTGACAAATTACAACTTATTGCTGAGTTCTCCATTATGCCAATGATAGGAATGGCTTTCTTTGGATGTTTCAGCTTCATGATTAAAAAAAAAATAGTTACTGAAAAATATTACAGTGAGTATCTTTTAATTTTTAATCATCTTACTATTTCAGTTCTGTCCTTTATAACTTTTTACTTTATGCTGACCACTTTATGCACTTCCCCAGTTTTACAACTATATCAAATGCAGATGAAAATAAAGTTAAACTTATGCAATCTAAGTCGTGCCTGTATAGCTGATATGAACGAAAAGATCTGTACAGCTTGTGATAAGAGTGCTCTTATCAAATTGGATCTCAAAAATCTATCCCAGGTTCTAAGTGTGTATTAAGCGTTGCAGCTAAAGTCATGCAGTAGTAAAGATTTGAGTGATACCATGTTAGCTCTGAGAGAAATATTTTTAGATTTATCATCAAATTTATCTTAATCCTGTTCAAAGTATATCCCTACATGTTGGAAGAATAAATCTTTTGGCTGCAGTGTCAGCTGTTTTTGTTTCCAATGCTATGTGATTGGATAAAGGGACAAAGTTTCTAATTAATAGTTACAGAATGACTAAAACATTTTGTCAGTTGCTCGAGTTTTTTTTTTCTTTGTATTTAATGAGTTGATTAAGATGTTAAGCACTGGTTTTACAAGTGTCTTTAATTTTGAAGCTTTAAGATGTGTAAGTCTGCCACTAGACATTAGAGCTTGCCATTTTCATTGAATGTTATACATTTTATAAAACCATATAAACTCTGACACAATCTTTTTTTTCTTGGTAGAATGCACTTCAAATGTAGTCGGTGTTTGCTCCCTAGAGTTTACAGTTTTCTCTGTATTGTCTTGATTTACATTTAGAGATGCAGCAGCAAGATTTGAATATACCTCTGTATTTCACTTCATCATTGTTATAAAAATGTAACCTATTTAAAAAATAATTTATTTGATCTATGCTTAATGAAAATATCACAGGTATCATCTATTAAAAAAAAACCCTCAATCACTAATATTCTAAAACACAGGCAGAAAGTTCTTATTCAAACCTTTATTGAAACTTTTCCTCGAAGTAAAAAAGATTCTTCTGCATATCACTTCATGGCTTACTGCAAAAATATCCTTATCCACATAAGACATAAAAGTAAAAATTATGGTGTCATTCTTATGTTAAAGTGTGGATAAAGTAATCATCATGTGCCATACAATTTAAGGATACACAATAATGTCCTATGTCATTTAATGTCATTGAATATAATCATACAAATTGCTACTGTTCAGTGGTACATGTTGAACTATATATATAAGCAACCATGCCCTGCACTCTGATTTTCATTTTTGATATGCCTTATTTGGTCTACTTATTTCAAAAGTTCCTGGTTGAGATCTAGTATATTGCTTTTATTATTCAGTGGCTAGGTGTAACTTGCTATATGGGAAACATTGTTATAAAGGAATTAAGTCACCTACTTTGGGAGGTCAAGAGTACCAGATGTGGGAAGGGGTGACCCAGAGTAATGCCCTTCTTATTTTGGCACACAGCAGAAGGGTGTAGTCTGTGTGTCTATTGCCATACCATCTACCAAGTCTGCCAGCCATGGTGCAAATACATGCTTTGGGCCTGGGGTCTCTTCTGTTTAAGGGAGAGACTTGTTGGACTTATGGGCCTAAGTGGTGGGAGAGTAAAATCTCTTCTAATTAATTATATTAAACGACTAAAGTTTTCATTTAAAAGCAAAATTAATATGTCAGTGTCATTGAAATTTGAGGAAAATGGCCTAAAGATGTGTCTAGATGAATTCATTTTCAACATGTAGTACACCCTTCTGATGTGACAATTCATGTCTTTATTTAGTTTTTACATTTTCTTTTGTTATTTTATTCACTTTCTTCTTTATCTCTTCCTTCTTTGGAGCTAAGTTTAATATGAATGAGGGATTAATAAATTCTTCTACATGAGAATTGACCCAATAACCCATCTAGCTTTCAGAACTGAATCTGAATCTTATTTCTTCTCTCATCTCTGTTTCAATTTACTTATTTTAAAAGGAAACCTTATATGTCTGGAATGAACCTAAATGGTGCATTAAAGGAATTTCTTTGCCTGAGAAAAAACTGTCAACCTGTGAAACAGTTGACTTTTGGCTAAAAGTAGGAGCTGGCGTGGGAGCTTTCACAGCCGTTTTGCTGGTGGCTCTAACATGCTACTTCTGGAAGAAGAATCAAAAGTAAGTATCCTCATTGCATCATCATGTAAGAACTGAACTCTAGGGTCTGTTTGTGTTGTGAAATTTTTAGACCTAATCATTAAATCTTGTACATTATCTCAGAGATATGTTTCTTCTAGTGAAGTGGTTATTTCTACTCTGACAGTAGAAATATCATAGAACATTAAAGTTCATTGAATTAGAGTCTCTTATTAAAAAGAAACAGAAAAATGGAGGCTTCAGGTTATCCAGTGACTGTAACAGAGCTGAGATTTGAAGGCAGAATTTCCCTCTTAGTCTGTTTTTTTGTTTTATGACATCATGCTGTCTTTATGCTGCACTTTTAAAATTTCTTATGGGAGGATATTTGCAAAGAAACTGACTAAGTATATAGGCAAATATCACATTTATTTACCCCACGTCTCCAAGAGTCTGGGATTGAATATTGATTCTAACCCCTGAATGCATATTGATCTGTTATACAACTTGAATCTTTTTCAATGATTTACATCTCAGTGGGGCTATAGAAAAATCTGTATTCTAACATCTAGGGTCAACCTTAATATCTGAGGTGCTAAGTTAAGCATAAAGGTGTGAATGATACAGGGAGACAGTAAATATCAACTCATTTGCCTGTTTGATATTTTCATCCTTATGAACTAAACTTTGAAAAACGTGATAGTGAATTGTCATGAGCATATTAATAAATTAAGGAAATGTATTCAGACCTCAAGATTTTTCTTTGTTTTTCAAATGTTATTCATAACCAGACACTTCAGTCAATTTAAAGTAAGTGATAGAATTAACTGTGTTGAACTGATTCTCTGACATTCTGTGAAGTATTTTTTATGTACATGGTTGATAAAAGAGAACACGTAAAGCCCATGACTTTAGGTGAGGGAAATTTGTTGATAGTACAAGAAGACAATTTAATGAGCTGCTATATAACCACATACAGTAAGTATTAATTTATTATTGATGTAAATGGCTACTTTATTTATTTATTTGCTTGTTTTATTTACTACCACTTAGACTGGAGTACAAATATTCCAAATTGGTAATGACAACTAACTCAAAAGAGTGTGAACTCCCAGCTGCAGACAGTTGTGCTATAATGGAAGGGGAAGATAATGAAGAGGAAGTTGTATATTCAAATAAACAGTCTCTACTGGGAAAACTCAAATCTTTGGCAACAAAGGTGAGAGTAGAATTTTAGACTGGAATTACTGAGCATTTATAAACTGGGGCCGTATTAGCCTAATAGCATTCAAGCAAAGTTCTGTCATTCATCATGTTTATCTCTCAGTGGATATGTATCTAACGGAAACACTCTTAGAAGTACATGATGTAAATACAAAAATATTCACTGCAGGACTGTTTTTAACTAGTCAACAAAGTAGAATCAACTTTATGTACCATCAATAAGGAGTTAGATGAGAAATTTTTATATATCAAAGTAATGGAATATTTTATGGCTCTATGCTGTTAAAAATTGAGATGTCTATGTTTTCTGATAGTAGATCCAGGATAAAGTAAAAACAACAAGTAAACTATCATATTTATGTTAGTATTCACATAATAAACATAATAACAGTAGCTGCTTTTTGAGATTAGGGAAATAATGAGAGTACATAGTCTTTGAAGTAGTACCTTTTTGTAATATTTGAATTTTCACAAAGTTAATGTGTTATTTTATAATTTTAAAAAACAAAATGTTAGGTTAATAAAAGATCTCATCTGTGTCCATACTTTTATTTTTGTGTTTATTTTATAACAAAGTTAACTTACATGGAGAAAACAAAAGTTACATAAACTGTTGAGGTGTTTAGGATACCATCATGTTTTTCTGATTTGGAATGACTACTGTATATAAACATAATGTGAAACCTTAAATATTATGTGAAAACACATTTTATTGGCATTCTTCACCCTTGACTTAAGAGATATAAATGGCCAATTTACCCACTCAAGATTAAAAATTAGAATGAATCAGAAGAAAGCAAATACATTTTGAATGATTTTTCAGGAAGTTAGACAAAACACATAAGATTACATTTATAGAGCATTTAGAGTAACTATCTTCTTTTTATTATTCTAATTTAGGCACACAAACATAGAGGATTATCTAACAATATAATAAATAAACCATTTTCCCTTTCTACAAATGGGTTATTTAATTTTAATTTTTTATATGGGAGTTTAGGGAATGTACGATTGCTGTGGAATAATAAATACATAGTGATTGCCAAAGATGGAAATTTCAAAAACTAAGAGACCCAGTATGCTTCCCATGTCTACATGGGCCCTGTCAGGGGGTTCAGTGAGCGGCTTACTCAACTAAGTGGAAATTATCCTCTTGATCTGGAATCATAGCAATCCAACAAGACAATTCAAGTATATCAGTGCAGTTACAACAGTTTATATTAATGACTGCACAGATTTTTGTTTCAAGTCATCAAGGAGGAGGTATAAGGTAATTATATTGTCCATAACAACATATGGAGAATGAGTTAATGTTGCCCTAAATGCCTTCAATGAATGAGGTGATATAATTGATTATTTTTGCCAAAGTTAGGGATGAATTTCATACCCCTTTTCTAATTGGACAACTACCCATTCAATGAGTGTAAGTAGTATTATTCACTCATTTTTGAAATATTCTTACAATTATCTAGGGGTTACATGATTTATTGTGGATGTTTCTCTAAAGATGAAAATTTGATATGACTATTTCTAAGGTACAAGCCACTATATTTTTAGGCTAAAATAAAGTAATGCTTGGTTTCCACATAAGAAGTACAATCCTGGAGGTGTGCATGCTGCCTCTGGAAGGAAAGTTGTATTTATAAATGTTGGGGACCCTAAGTGGAACTTAAATCAGTCCAGCAGCATAGATTGGCAGTGCCTGAAATATAAACTTGCTGAATAATAAACTTTAGGGTTTTCAGTTCATCCCAAATAAGTATGTGTATTATCAATCAGGAGACTGCCTAAGGATAGTCAGTTCAACTTTTCCTGCTTGTCCATACTACAAATGGGGTATCACATTTGTCTATCCATGTGATGACTGAGTGAAGGCTATGGTATTGGAGGTGTTGATTGATGTTATTCTGGAGCAGAAGCTGGGGCCATCCCCTGCCACATCTAATAGATTTATTAGTAAGCTATCTTACAAATAATGGCAGTCCAATTGTGATTAGAGCATATGGTGGGTATGGCAGATCCAGAAATCAGTTAAATTAAAGCTCTTTGCAACAATTTGAGAGAGCCACATATGGGCATTTTTCTTCGTAGCACAGTGACAAAATGGCTCTGAAAAACAGATTATTGCTAGTGTCACTCCTTCCTCATCCCTTTCAGTGTCTAAGGCATCTCCTTCCAAGTGCCCCATTATCAGACTATATTGTTATCTCCATCCACGGCCACCATCCCATTTCTGTTGTTACAGATTCACCTTATTTCTGCTCATCCTCCACTGACACCTAAATTTAACTTCCAGAACATTCAGGTTCAAGAAGGACAAAGGCATTTTAAAAAAACTTTGGAGACCTAGTGTGTGCCCCACTTTTGTTCATGTAGGCCATAATAGGGAGGCTGCTTAAGCAATATACTCTATAATTTGTCATTATCTTTTTGATCTAGAATCATAAAAATTCAACAAGACAAAATACAGGTGGTGGTTAATTATAATTATATTCAAAAATTCTAGGCTCCCTTTGAACTAGGGCTATCTCTAGAGGTTGTACCCAGGCAGTATAGGATTGCTATTGAAATAAACTTTATATAGTTTTGTTTCAAGGGCAAAAATAATAAGGTTAGAGTTAACTGATTAGTGGTGAAGCACAACCAGTAGTCCAAAAAGTGGTCAAAGGTATGATATAATCAATTACCCAAGGAAAAAACTGATCAAATTTTGGATTCTCAAGTCTGGTAAGCTGTGGTGCCCTCTATCAAAAAAAAAAAAATAGAGTCTTTTCGCTTTTTGCCCAATATATGATGACAAATGCATTAGACCCATAAAAGGGTGAGATGACGACCTACACAGCATTTGTGGCAGTCTGTCTTGTGCAGACTTTCTCAGCAAATTGATTCTATTTGATCTTTTCGTAAGATAGATCCTTAGCTCTGAGTAACATATATGATGTGATCAGAAGCAAAGATTTATTTCTGGAGTCTGTGTCCGCAAAAAAGGTTGACTTGAATATGCCAGTCTGAAGTTTTTCAAGTGGCAGACAAAATAGGTCATTTTTAATAGCTCAAGAAATGGTAAACATATGAAGTTTATTAAGAGAAGTATTATCCAAATTTAAGAAAATGCCTTGGAGGTCTACCCACTGAACAGAACAATCTTGTCAGTTTTTAGTTATGTATATACGAGGCTGAAGCAGAAAGTGGACACCATTGGGTTTCAGGTCAACTACCTCTACAGTGAACAGGCCCAGACAGGTAGTAGCAATTTAATGAATCAAGTGTTCCACTGAGCCAGAGGATTTGTTTGGAGCACTAGAATAGGTGATAAAATTGCCTCCGAAGGGTTTGCTGCCATATTTTCTTTTGAGGTGGATGTCACTGAGAACAGACCAGCTACACTTGAATATTTGTCATTTATCTTTGAAAAATCTAAGCTCATTGGGCCCTTCCCATGTTGTTGTCCCACGGTAAATGAAACTTATTCCAATATATAGTTATAAGGTTTGCATGGGAATAATATTCAGTTTTAAATAAAGTTCAGTAACAAACTAATAGTTGATCTTCAAAAGGACTGTATTTGTCATCTATGTCAAGGAGTGATGAGTTTAAAACCCCACAGGGGGTTTCTGGGTTGAGATTGCCTCCCACTGTCAGAGTCTACAAATGGCAAAATCATTAATTGCAGAGAATTGTATCACAAAGTTGTTAGTGTTGTAAGATCACAAAGGTAAAGTGTGGCCCAGCATTTAGGACAATTTATAACATATCCTGTTTGGGCCCAATTCAAAGGATGCTACTTTTTGGGTTAAATGATATAAAAGATCAAATAGGATATTCAAGAAAGGCCCATGTTCTCTCTAGAATCAAAGAATCAAGTCAGGAGTTAGACTATTTTTCCTTGACTCCTGAATAGATTCAGCATTACAAAATACACCTACACAGTCCCAAGGAATATTATTACTGGGTCCCTGAGTTTTGTTGTGATTAATCAGCCTCCTCTTCAAGTAGAAGTGTGATAACCCGGGTAGGGCTTAATATTGTTAAGAAGGAGGCTTAATATTGGATACCAATTAAATAGTGACCCCTTGGGTATCAGAAGGCATGAAACCGTGTGTGAAACACTAGCTCATGCAGAGGAGCTAAGAGCCACTGGGGTGGTCTACTAGCTCTTCTCTAAAAGTGACTGTTCTTGATCAGGAGAATGTTATCAAGTACTTATTACATATAAGATCAAGTCCAACTGTATGTTCAGACAAAGAAGCAACAACAGTACTTTGAATGTGCAGATTTAACTTTGCCTCAGGTTACATTGTTTTCCCTTTATTGATCCTTGCTCACATTCCATTATTTGCATGGCCCTTTCTTCCTATAGGTTCAGTTAGGATGATGACCTGGCTGCTTGCTATCAAAAGAATCCTATTTGAGAACCCCCTTTCCAAGGTTTCCTAGCTGATTCAGATGGATGTGTATGATTTTTAAGCTCTCTTGGTTACAGGAAAACTTTGGTTTGTCTGCTGATCACCTTTCTTCTTGAAGCCGCTGAAATCAGGATAGATGGAGACGGAAAGATTAAGTATAAAGAGAAAGAGAATCTCTGTGTCAGCAGATATGACTTTTGCTTTTGAGAAGCACATCTGCTGCTCATGATTGAACTAATTGGTTTAGTTTTTGTCTACCCAGAATTTGGGGTTAAGGTTATTATTATTGACATCATTTATTTCAGCTTTGGCATCCCTTGACTCAGAGACCACATCAATATTTCTTTCAGGGTAACACTGGAGGTTTTATGTCTTTTTGTTGATCTAGACTTGGCTTATATATTGGAACCTTCTTTAAAAGAGATAAACTTATCCTAATCCAGGATATTTCTTTCTGGGTTGCCATATATCTAAGTTAATGCTTAGTTTTGACAAAGGATAGGAGAAATCTCCAGGGTGCAGCTGACCATGCTAATTTATCTAGGTTCCTTTGGGTCAGTTTCTATTCTTCAGTGGTCTTATTTCACCTTGGAAACTCAATTATGGCAGTAAAAGTCCAAATAATAGTATCTCACAGAGTATTCTTATGTAAATTACTCTCAGGAAACCTCTCAGAGAAAACAAAGCTCTGTAATTATAGTCAGGAACCACTACAAAATCTCTGAGCCCTTTATCTTTCACTTTTAGTGTATCTAGGTTTGGCTTGATAGGTGGCAAGAGATGCTGAAACCTAAAATGGACTAGTTGTTGCCATTCTTCCTTAACATTCATTAAGCCCTGACATATCCTCTTAGCCAAGACTCTAACAATTCACCAGGTTTCTGTTCATAAACGGTTTCATTTTCTTCCCTTTCTTATTCATTGTAGGTACAAATCTCTATAACTTTTATCTTAAAAGAGTGAATTCTTACTTTATTATCCAGATAAATTTTAGTGCTGGTTATTCCATGGGGAACTTCTGAGGTGAATTGCCTGATTAGTTAGGAAGTCTTTCTATCCAGAGGAGAATTAACAACATTCAGAGCAGTTTCCAGGAAGCTGAACTGTAAACCCATTAGTCTGCTTCCCATCTTCCTGCAACCACCTCCCAATTCCTCTTCATTATTGGCAGATAAAATGAGGGATCGATTATTGCCCTTTTGACCAGAATTTGGTCAGCATATTTATTACCAATTTCTATGGCTTCTAAGTAATTCTTCCTCCCTCAAATCTTGGGTGTGAAGCTATCATCTTTTCTCTTCTAGAAACCATGTCTCTGTCGTTTAGCCATCCTCATTAGCAAAGCAATGAAGAACTCTGAAGGTTTTGAAAATTTTCTCTACTTGTAGCCAACATATTGGTCTGCCATGGTTTCATGAGCCCTTTAGAAAACAAAAGTCTCCTGATTCAAGCATAAAACAGTTTATTATTCATAACAATAGTATACAAAATATCACTGTTTGTTTTGGTTCCTCAAACCTTACTTCCCACAAGAGTGAAGTGAAGAAGACTAGATGACAGAATGGATTGTATTATAGAAGAGCAACCCATGGGTTGTGGAGCCTGAATCTTGTATTATAGGCAGTAAGTATGTTTACTATTTTCTCCACACGGGGAGGCATTGTCTCACCTTTCAGGATAGTAAGTGAACTTTTCCTTTGCTTTGAAAGGAGACATTATCTATCATCCAAGGTTTTTGTTTTTGTTTTGTATTAACATCTTTGAAAGTTTATTTAAATTAAGGGGCATTCTGTGATCTTCTTCACAAGATATGTAGAAATCCATGGTTAAAATTTCAAGTGTCAATTTAGACTTCTCTGTACTGATTTGGTCCTGTGAGTCCCCATTTGTAAGGGCATTATCTTATAATAATGAAAGGAATATTTAGGTACCAGGGAAGTTGTTTAAGAGAAAGTAATTCCTAAGCTGAATCTTAAAGAAAAAATGGAATTGTTCAGAGGAGAGATGTCAAATGATGTATAAATTTTAAAGTATTTCCTAATATTACAGTACTTCCCCTGTTGTTATAGTATGACCAGAGCATTTTATTTTGAATAGCAATTTTAGCATAATAATCTTTCTTTTTTTAACTCTTTAAAATTAGATTTTAGCTATTACATAGAAGTTGAAAAAAATAAGCAATAATTTTTAGAAACTACCATCTAAATTTTACTATGCTTGCTTTGTTATTATATGCATCCATCTGTCCATCCCTTTAACTATTTAACAGTCTCTCTGCTTTTTTTTTTTTTGATGTTTCAAAGTAAGTTGAAGACTTTGATATACTTCATGACCAAACACTTCAAGATACATATCATTGATTAGAATTCAATATTTTAAGATTTTTTTATGGTGGAATGCATATATCACAGTATACATATAATTTGATGAATTTTGAGAATGTATTTGCCAGTATAAATAAAAATCCTAACAAGATATGGAATATAAGCATCTCCTGAAACTAACCTTGTGTCCTTTTGCATGCTGTTAATCCCTCTTCTCCCAAAGGAAACTACTATATCAATCTTTGAAACTATAGATTAGTTTTTAGAACCTTATTTAATTGCAATTACATGTTTTTTCTTTCACTCTTTTATATATTTTTGAGATTCATCTACCTTGTTCTGTTATTCAGTAATGTTTTTCTTTTTATACAGGAATAGTAAGCTATTGTATGGATATAATATTTTTTGTTCTCTTAAAGGATACCTGTGCTATTTACAGTGTTTCACTATGAATAAAGCTGTGAATATCATTGTGGAAGTCTTATTATGTGTCACATTTTTTTATGCATGATTCCAGAGAGCAGAAATTTTTTAAATTGCCGTATCATGTAGGATTTATCTTATGTATTCTTGCTTTATCTTTATATTCTTATTCATGTTCTAAAGGCTATACCTTACTTCATATTTCCTTAGTAGTTCACTACATACAAACATAATTATATATGTGTTTATTTTTTTTATTTTCCCCAGCAATTAAAAATGATTTTTTTTGGTTTCTTTTATTTCTTTAATCCAGAATCATTTATGACATATATGAGGTGATATGCTAGGTTTTGGGGATATGTCAAATTAGCCATAGTTTCTTATCTCAGACACTACTAGAATATTGTGGGAAGACATATCACCAAGCACCCAGAGAATCTTCCAGTATGGCAAGAATAAAGAGTAGGATCTATTGGAGCACAGGGGAGAGGGAGTGCAGTAGCAGAGGTAGTAACAAGGTAAGGAGAATCTTTTGGGAGAATCTTTTGGAACTAGTTGGCTTTTGAATAGGCTTTTCAATTTAGAGTTTAAAAAGACCACCCTGTGTGGCATCTTTTTGTGCATGAGCAAACAAAGACCTAGAGGGGCTCACTTATTTGTACAAAGGAACTAGATGGGGATTAGAACGTCTCACATCTCTGGAGTTCAATCTAGTATTTTTCCTGATGTGAAGTGGTGTTTTAATACATTGCTGTAACCACGGATTGATAATCCACCATGTATGATGCCTTGGTCTTGCCTTGCAAATTAAAAAAAAAAAAAAAAAAAGTTCCCACTATCAGGAAGTTAACTCCAATAGTGCCATTACCTAATTATACACACATGCACACACCCACACGTTTATGTGTTTATGTATATACCCTACCATATCAGCAATAGGAGTAAAATCCTATGTAAACACAGAGGATATGACTCAAGTCCTATGATCCAAACATAACTTGATGAAGGGTTTTTAAGTGTTTTACTTGATAAATGACCACAGAAATCTCAGATTTCCTTGTTAGTTCATATCTGATACTCTAAAGTGCTTTTCTTTGATATGCCCTATCTCTCTGAGGGTAGATATTTTGTTATATTCATTTTTATATTCCTAACGTCTAGTTTTATCCCACACTGCAATGCAAGCTTAATACATATTCCAATTATCAATACTCATTTTACACAATTGTCAAGGCTGATAAACACTAGACTCCAGACAAGTTTTTAGAGAACCTGTCAGCAAAAGCACTAAGGATCTCTGTAGTCTCCTCTCCCAGTGGCCTGTCCTCTCAGCAAAGCCAGGGAAGGAGCAATATGTTGGTATTTATCCTATGATTTTCTTTTACAATCCTGTCTCTGTAACCCTAAAGCTCTTGGACTTCTCTCCCCAAGTAAAAGCAAACACAAAAGCAGAAACCCTTCCTGACAGCTATTCAGTGTCTACTTCCTGTCATTTTCTTATGTTTATGCTTCCACTTTAGACACATATTTATTTTCACCTAGGACTTGTTGACTTCCTGTTTTATTTTATTTTAAAAGTAATCCTAGTTCTCTCATCTTCTCATTTAAAAAGTCTTCAGAAAACATTCTCTGTTTTAATAATTAAGATTGGGAGAAATTTCACCTTCTTTATCTCTTTTTACCCATTAAAGAAAAATAATTTAATAGGCTACATTTTGAATGTATTGCATGGCACCATCAATGATATATTTGAATTAAAACTTTGAAGCATTATCTAATATGACTTGTTTAATATCTTTAGTAGACATGTACTCAGAAGATTTTTTTTTAAACATGTCTGTGTGCTGGGTGTGGTTGTGTATGCCTATAATCCCAGGGACTTGGGAGGTGGATGCAGGAGGATCGAAAGTTCGAAGACAGGCTAATCAACTGAATGAGACCCTGTTTCAAAATTAAAAACACAAAAAAAATTATTAACAGAGGACTGGTTATGTAGCTCAGTGGTAGAATGCTCTTGAGTTTAATCCCCAGTACTGCAAACAAACAACCTCCCCACTCCCAAAAACAAACAATAAAAAAAGTCAGTGAACTCAAATGATCTTCTGATTCCTTTTTTGTTTCTGCTGTCCTTTTTATTTTTTTTAGCCTCTGTTATCCTGAGATTATTTAGTGTCTGTCAGTTCTATTTTGTCCACAATTAGTCTGGCAAGGTCATTGATTTCAGCATCAAGGTCAGGCGTGCCCTTAAGAAGGCTCTCAGTGATTTTTTTACAGGAATTACAGCTGCATCTTTTGATATCTATTGCAATCATGTGTTTGCTTCTATTTTGGATGTGTCTGTCTTATCTCTTGGGCATCAAAAGCACCCTTCAGGGTAGGCATGCTATTTGTTTTATGTCTGCCACCTTATCTTAGATGTAAAATCCTAATTACAAGTGGCAGGTACATAGATTCAGATGATTTTTTGAAACTTTCCTTCTGGAAAAGATCCCAAAATTTTACTGGAATTTCAATAAATTTATTTTGTTAATTTTTTTCCCTAGGAAAAAGAAGACCATTTTGAATCTGTTCAATTGAAATCCTCAAGATCACCCAATATATGAAGAGACAGTGCTGTAGCCTTCAGACTAATGAACAAAGAAACCGTCTCTGTGGTTTTACAGGACCCTGTGTTAGGGTGTGTCTTCACACCTGTCATGTTGGTGATCTCACAGAGGAAGGCCTTGGCACTGAAATGAGAAAGAGGTTGAAATGTTTGATTGCCTTATCACATGGTCAAGTACCTTGCCAAACAAAGGAAAGCAAATGATTTGGGTCTCAACTGAAGATGAAACTTAACTCAGGAAGAGATTTATCTGTATATACACATAACTGAAAACCAAGTTTATGCCCACCAGTGCACTGCTGATGCATGCCATATAATTATTGGGTAATTTTTATTCTTTATAATGTCTACATAAAAAGTGTGCTTTGGAGGGCAGATGTGAGCATAAGCCTTGTGATCTTGTTTATGTCTTGTCTTTGTTTATGTTTGGGGGAAGATTTGAAAAAAATTTAAAGGTATAATTATTTTTCCCATTATTTATTTTCTCAACAGACCTTAAACATCTTTTCTATTAAAAAAAATGGTGAGCAATGAAAGACAATAAATTTTTCTTTTTACATAGGGCATTTTTACTTGGTTTCCGAAGCTTATGTCATCAGTAATATTTTAGAAAGAATTAGCATGTATTGGGGTTATTTAAACCTATAATTGCCTTTGAAATTCCATCCTTGTTGGAATTGGTAAGAAGAGCTTGACTGGAAGTTTGAAGGAATATTAAAAAAAAAAAAAACACGTGGGCGTAAGAAGGCTTTGACTTTCCATTAATGCAAATAAGCAGGTATTATCATAAAAGTAAAATGGCTTAAAACAGTTTGTTGGTGCCTGAAGAATAAATAAGTGGGAAAACTTGTTATTAAACTAGTTGCACAATTATGAAGAAGAAAGGGCTTCTTCTTCTTAAGTCCAAATAACTGTACAGAGGTATTGGGATAATTTCACAGTCAAGAAAATGTTAGTGGGACATTTCCTTCATGTAAAAGCACCAGAGGTTTGATTATTTTTCTGCTGCAAGACTTTGAGGATTATGACTTTGGTGGAAGCATCTTACCCCACCCCCACCCCCACTAAGCCAATAGACAGGAATTCAATTTTGGAAACGCATATATTGTATTCATGATAAGAATGTGATTGTACTATAAACAGTTATGAAATAAGTAGTGTTCTTATTCAAAACTGATCCAGAAAATTGTGATATTTCTTATGATGGATTACTAGTCATAGCACAACTTGGACATTATTTGTTAAAAGAAGTTTGAAGATAGATTTAACCAATTTTGTGTAAATTTTGTTTTGGAACTGAGAAACAAGAGGGTTCACTGGCAATTGATGATCTAAGGTGCTCTGGTTTGTTTCCAATAAACAGTTATCTTTACAGACCTTAATCCAGATTTTTAAAAAAGATCTGTGTTGGCTAAAGGAGGCAGGGTATAGGTATAAGGTTTTTGCCCCAGATATTTCAATGAAATATGAGTTGTAACTTTTGATATTGCAGACAGTCTCATCATTTTTGTGAAAAAATGGGATAAAATGAATAATTATGTATTTGACTGGTGGATAAAACACTAGACCATTTGATTTCATTAAATGAATTTTTTGTTTTGTGTACAGCTCTGCTATTGTGTACAGGTATAGAGGAAGTTGCCATTGTTTCATTGTTCATTATGGGTTTCAAGAGGATATCACAGTGTATAAAACTTTTTTTTCCACTTAAATTCTTGAATCTTTATATAAAGAAGAAATTATTTTGGCATTACTCATTTTTATCCCACTAATAGACTATTGGTATGCCTTCCCCCATCTTGACAAAATTTAACCAGAAGAATGAAAATACACTTGAAATGCACCCTTTCAGAGGAACCCTGATAAAGTTGTACAGACTGGACAGACTCAGAAAGTTTCCGCAGTCACCAGTCACCTCTCTCTTCATCTTCTGCTGTGCTCAACATGTATGTTTCAAGCCATAGAGATAATTGGGATTTGCTCCCAGGTAGCTTCTTTCTTCTCTTGTCACTGGACTAAAATCTCTGACATGTCAAAAATGCCTTAAATTTTTAATGAACTCTCTGAAAATGTAGTTGATATTAAAGAATTTATTTATTTTATTTCTAATTTTAGATACTAAATAGATTTTGTCAGCTCAGTCCCAGCTTTGGAAATAGCTGCCTATTTCCTTTGGATTCCAGTGGCTTGTCATTTTATTTGAAGAGCTGAAGAAAAATGACAGAATATTATGAGGAAAATATTCAGATCAATTCTGGTTATAAAATTCACTTCATAGCTGGCCTTTGCAAAGCTCAGTGAAATGTTGAAAACATAAACAAATTAATTATGTTTCTGTGACTTAATTGACATTTGTTGTTCCTTTACCCCTAAGTGGTAGAAAAAGGTGTTATTTGTTATTTTCCAAAAGGCCCAGTTTTGAGGCCTTAAATACTTCATTAAATCAACTGTCGCCTATAACATCTCTTAGCACTCTGTGAAAACTATTTAAATCAATTTTACATGGGATGAGAACATGTCTTCTATGGATAAATTATATCATGCCATTTAATGATGTTGAGCAATTTGATATGTGTTCATTTGATTTAAAAGACTGACTTTTATTATTATTGATTTTTCCCCCTTTGGTTACTCATAATCAAATCCTTCCTAGGATTAAAAATATTTCGTATTATTTTTGTGTAGACCTTTGTCATTATTTTCTTCCCAAGGAAAAAAGGCGGCTTATCGGTTATGGTGGAAAAATTGCTTGGGTCATCATTTACCATCTGGGATCTCTGGGTCCTCAGGTGGTAGGTCATGCTCAACTGTGCTTCTTCAAGACCCATTTGGTGTCTTCACCAAGACTATCATTTGATGTCTGTTGATAGAACTTTGCACAGCTCATAGTTGTTCCTTAATGGGAGGCTAATGTGTAGATAGATTATTTCTCTTTTCCTCATGAAAGTAAAATTTCCTGGGAGATAGGATGAAAATGTGACTTAATTATCCAGTTTAAAGTCAATATATTGTTTATATTTATCTTTTTACATTAATGACATGTAGAAGAGATTTTCAGAAGACCTAAAATCCTTCATCTTTATTTTAGGTAAGTCATGAGTAGTATCCCATATTTACAGATCCAAGTCTAAATTAAGGCTGCCTTAAATAAGAGTTCCTAAGGATAAGATGGGGGTAGACTTTCAAAAATATCAACAGCGAAATCATTCTTTGGAAGCTAAATTAGTACTCATAGTACTGGCTTGAGATTATACTCTTGTTAAATTTTATTTCTTTTGGTTTATCATTTTTTAAAAAAATATTTTTTAGTTGTCAGTGTATCTTCTTTCCATTTGTTTATTTATTTGTGGTGCTGAGGATTGAACCCAGGGCCTCACACATGCCAGGCAAGTGCTCTACCATTGAGCCACAACTCCAGCCCCCTTGGTTTATCATTTTGAGGTGAGCCCATTTTAGGATAATAAATAAAAGAAGTAAAACTTTCAAGTGGGAATGAATTATTGATTGATATTACTATTGCAATTGTCTAGATTAGAGGACAGCAAATTTTTTTAAGGGTTACCCAGTACATATTTTTGGCTTTGCAGGACATGTGGTCATGTTGCAATTACTTGGCTCTACTATTGCAGCATGAAAGCAGCCACAGACCCACAAACAGTATGTAAAAGAAGGGGTGTAATTGCACCCTAGTGAAACTTCACTCATGAATGCTAAAATTTGAGTTTCTGTTAAAAGTCTTGAAGTACAATTTTGATATTTTTCTAATTATATAAAAATGTAGATGCATTCTTATCTCACAGGCTTTGTGAAAACAGGTTGTGACTGACTTTGGCCTATGGGCTAGGGTTTACTGATCCCTCATTTAGATTACATCAAACCAGTATACGCAAAACTGATCCGAAGACTCTGCACACAGGTTCTTTTCCCTTTGTTGGAGCTTACCACCTAAATTTTGTCAAGTCTCCTGAGATGTTCATGAAGAAAATGACCCATCACCTGCCCTTACTGATTCAGTCACCTACCAAAGTGAGATCATCTCCTGAATTCCTCTTGCAGTTCTGGGCTCCATTATGAATATTAATTGGCAAATGGTTAAACTAAAGCAAGAGAATGAGTTTTAAGAAAATTAGAAAAGTTGATTTTTGAGCTTTCTCTCAATGAGGTTAATATGACATTTACTGCTCATGTAATTGGTTTTAGAGATAATATTCAGTCCTTTATATAGATTAATTTAAAATAACTATGTGGAAATAGGGGATATTGATGCATAAAAACAGCTCCAGCATAGATTCTTGAGACCTGGCACTGGAGAGTGTTCCCTAATTTATTTACATTCATTCAGGAAGGGTACACCTTCATCCCCAGTTCTATTTTAAGACATATAGAGCTGCAAAAGGCATTCCGGATTTCTTTAATGATTGGTGACTCAAGAAACTCATTTCAAGTTTTCCTGTACAAAATGCTCCATTAAGGCTTTTAATTGCTAGAATTTTCCTCATCTTATTAATAACTTGTAGAAGGAAAGCTCTGTCTAAAAGAGCTTATGCGTTTTGGCATATTTGGATTGAAGGGGGAAATTTTTTTTTTTTTTAATCTGAGACAACTGATTTCAAGGACCATTGATTGCATTTCAAATAAGAGTTAAACCAGTGAGAATTATGCAAATCAAAATCTTCTGTCATAGAGCAGTATGGATAACTAACTGCCTTATCTGTGGGTTTGGCCCTTTGTCTTTAGAGCTCTGGTTATAATCCTGCTTCCCAGCCTTTCACTTTCATAGCTTCTCCAAGTTCACAAACCTTCTTTGCAAAGCTCTTGGCCTTGAAATTTACAGAGGGCGATACAGCAGGAACCAGCAGAAAGAAGATGTGTAGTCAAAGGCGGAGAAAGTCCACTGGCTGAATTACCTACTTTCTCACCATTCTTTAAACTGTTCTGTGTGTGGTCTACAAAGCATCTTGCCTCACAGTTCAAAAATAGGAACTGGTTTATTTTATCATGATAAACTTTGATGGTCAGAAAAATCTATTCTTATTGAAACTGGAGTTACATGGAACACCTCAGAATCTGTAAATACTCAGAAAAACATGGCTAATCAAATATACAGTTTGGTTCTGATTTTTTTTTTTAACGAATAGAACGTATCATTTAGCTTAGGTTCCCTAAATTTTGGAAGTCTTTCAAAGATGGATTGTCTCAATCAGTTTTATATTACAGAAGGACAAAGTGTTTCTGATGTAGAGAAAGAAAACCCCCCAAAATAACATAAGTTTTCATGGCTTATGTTAAAAAATATTTTATAGAAGCTGTTTTCCACATATATATGTGGAATTTAAAAAAAATATTTCTAGACAACACATGTTATGTGATGCACTTCAAATCTGAAACAAGTCATGTAGCAAGGCAGGAGAAAATGACAGGAGATGTCAGTTAATGTCTTTTCAGTGTACTGGCAGGGCATGAAATATCGTGAGCATAGATAAAAACCCAGACCTCAAAACCACCCTTTTTCTCATGATTTGTACACAAGCCCGATTGTCTTGTTTTAAAAGGTCGGTGATCATTTTGATTGTTTGAGGCATCAGCTGCATCTCTGCACAACCCATCTGATATTGTCTTCCACAGACTGTCACATTCCATCAGTGGATTCAGTTTATTTTCTCTCCCATCAGCCTTACCTCAGTTTTATCCTGAACAGATGCTCATTCAGAGTGCACTTATCTGGCACTCCTGCTAGTTTCAGTCACAGCAGAATTCATTTTTGTCATTTGATGGTTTTGAATGTCTTACTCAGTCTACCACAATTACTACCCAAATTCCAGGTTCCTGTTTGAATATGAGAATTCAGGGACTAGTGAACACTATTGTTTCAAGTATCTGTGAGCTTTGGGTTGATTGGTTAGGTTGCTGATTCAAATGCATTCAGAAGGAAGAGAATTTCTAACTTCTGAATACTTTATTTCCTCCAAGGCCAGTCCTGTTGTCTTTTATACACCTGTTCATAATTTCTGGATGTTTTAAAAATACTGTCAGTGTCTTGCTTATTTCAAGCCTTGACTATTTAGCTTGAGGGTCCCTCGTATCCTTGATTCTACTCTGCTTTCTTCTCACTATCTTCCTTGGACACAGGTAACCTCATTAAAATATTTTCTAGTCTTTATGCTTCTTAAATGTGGAGACTGCATCTTACTCATCTTTCTTCCTTTTGTGTACCAAATAGTGGCCTCAAAAAATATGTCCATATCCTATTCCCTGGAACCTAAGAGTGTTACTTTATTCAGATAAAGGACCTTATGTAGATTGGATTTAGGGCCCACTGAGATTATCCAAGATTGTTTCATCTTGACATCCTTAATTGTATCTTTCAAGAGACATAGAAGACAAGATAGGCACAGAGGAGAATGTGATGTGAAGATGGAGGCAGAATTTGGAATGATGTGGCCATAAGCCAAGGATCCTGGCAACCTCTAAACACTAGAAACGGTGTGGAATGAATGAATTCTTTGGGGTCTCTGAAGGAGCATGCCCTCCTGACACTTTGATTTCAGCCCTCTGGCTTCCACAACTGTGAGAGAATAAAATTTGTATTATTTTTAAGCCACATATTTTGTGGTGATTTCTTACATCAGCCACAGGAAACTAACATTTTCTATATCTATGGCACCTGGTGCAGGATCTGGCCGATAGTTATGTTGTCAGTAAATGCTCCCACATTAATTAATATATGGGACTACAAGGTTGACAGAAATAGGACAGTATTAGGAAAGAATAAGCCAGTTTTAGCTTACCTATACTTTTCCTGTTCACTCCTCTATTTAGGAAAATTCAATTTTCAAGTTTAGTGACAAGCCTGTGTGCCTGAGCATTGTTCCTTGGACTTTGGAAAAACATTGGGAAATAAGATACCCTGTATTTCTATTGCTTCATTCCGCTATGAATAGTAAGAGTGATTTTCCATGAAAGGACAAGATGCTTTTCAGTCTGTTTCCTAGTAATGAAGTTTGTGTTTGGAAATGAGAGTCATCAGATTTTTCTGGCAGTCCGGTTTCTATATTAGGTTTTAGGAAATTTTTCTTTGCCTAAGAGCTCTATTTGAGCAATTCTGGGCTCTCATATGGATATGGCTTTAAAAAGCAAAAAAAAAAAAAAACCCTAGTATGTATGGAATCACTTAAGTAGCCAGGTGCATATGGTATCAACTTCTGATCATTGTTATCTGTAGAGAAGTCTAGATCTGTTCACAACTTTCTAGCAGGGTAATAACTTGAGTTGAAAGTATGCATGGATATAAAGAAAAGTAGGTAATTTGTTCCAACATTAAAAGTAAAAATGACCTAAAATACGTACATTCAAATTACACTAAGTGATTGAAAAAGGACAAACTATTATCCACCATGCTGGAAAACCTTGAAGGTTTTATTCCCAATAACTTTACATTAATACAGATGCTTTTTATTTTGTGCTCAGAAAAACAATCTGTTACACGTAATGTAACTTTAATATACAACATAGAAACTCATCCTAAATTAGTTACAACAAGAACCTACAAAAAACTTCATAGGAAAAAAGTTACCTAATATTGCCACCGTATTTTTTTTTTTTAGTAGACTGACCCTGTCAGACCCTGTCACCAATGCTCAGCTCTGTAAACAATGGTTATTTTCATGTTCTGGG